TTGTTCGATAAGGGTTTTTGACATGGTGAGGTATTATGGTTGTATTTGGATTCATAAGTGGGGGAATAAACTTCCCAGGGTGATATTATGATGTTTAAGGAGGATGACTTGCACGAGGGTTCATCCCGAGGAAGTGCAATTATACGACTCCTGATTTACCTATGTTGAGCCAATTATGGCCACGTCAAGTACATGTGTAAGTAATGAATTATGGTTAAGCAAGATGAGATATGAATCATGTACAAGGATACCAAATATGAATGTTGTGGTCTCACGGTCAACTACATAGTAATTAGGGCTCCCTATGCTATTACTCTATTATGATATGTATGATAGTCACACCTCTCATGTGGTGGTGACTGAAGAATTCTTATGAGATATGACCACACCCAGGGCGGTGTTGGGGTATGACTACACTCATAGTGGTGTGGGGTATGTATGACCACATCCGACGGGATGTTGGGGTATGTATGACTACATCCGACGGGATGTGGGGTATGTTTCCCGGGAGAGTTATTAGCATGGGAGTAGCCAGGCGCCTATGATTAAAACATGATAAGATGCATATGCATAAGTCAAGGTGGTTGAGTCTTTTGCCTATTGGGATGTCGGAGGGCTGAGATCTGATCCTAGTGTTTTGGTTTGTTTGCTAGATGTATGGTAGGGGTATGCTCTGTTATGAACTCACGATGCTATGATTATCTCACTCAGCTATGAGCTGACCCTCTTTATCCTTTTTCTCTGCTTATGCCATGTGTAAGCAGATCATTATCAGCAGCAGTAGATAGGTGTATAGGTGGGAGCTGAGCAAGAGTTGAAGGCAAGATGAGGTATGGTCTTCAACTATTCTGTGCTTGGACTACTACTCGGGATTTTGGCCAGTGATCCACACCTTTTTGTAAAAAAATGTTTTCAGAACGTTTTTCATGTGCATACTAGCTTCTGATGTAGTGTGAGATATCCACAGGTGTGGAAAGTTGATGATATGTGTATATTTTTGTAATTGTGTAAGTTATGACGATTATGGCTTGTATTAGTATGGTATGCAGTTGTGTAGTATGAAACTGTGACTATGGCTATGAAAAACCAATGCATATGGTTGTGAGTATATGTGTTTGTCTATGAATGCATGGATTCAGATGAATTATTTTGCAGGATCATATGGAAGAACTGTTAGCCCATTACGCGAGTAATTCATGTCGAAATTTTATTTGGGTAAATTTTGATAATTAATGTAACGCCCGAGATTAATTCCGCTGCAATTTTATGAACAATATGATTAGGCAAAACGTATAGGATAGGGTGTTACAGCTGATGCAAAGCCTAGACTCATCCGCTTGATCATGCTTCTGCAGGAATTCGATATAGAAATCCGGGACAAGAAGGGAGCCGAGAATGTTGTTGTAGATCATCTTTCACGGTTGGAAGCCCCTCCGGTGGACAACTTCGTGGAAGAGATCGATGACTCCTTCCTAGGTGAGAGATTGCTAGCGATGACACTGGTGGACAGCGTGGTCCCTTGGTATTCTGACTTTGCCAATTATCTGGTGGGCAAGCAGCTACCAAAGGGGATGGACACTCATGCAAAGCGCAAGTTCTTCTCCGACTTGAAGCATTACTTCTGGGAGGATCCTTACCACTTTAGGATCGGAGCAGATGGCGTGATCCGGCGCTGTGTCATGGAGCACGAGATGGGAGACATTCTGTCTCAATGCCACGAGGGACCTAATGGAGGTCACCATGGAGGAAACCGCACAGCGCGGAAGGTGCTACAGTCGGGCTTCTATTGGCCTTCGCTCTTCAAGGATGCAGATGCCCCAACATATTTCTGTCATTTGTGAGATTTTTGATGTTTGGGGTATCGATTTCATGGGCCCATTCCCTCCATCTTTTGGAAATCTGTACATATTGGTTGTAGTGGACTACGTCTCGAGGTGGGCAGAAGCTCAAGCCATGCCCACTAATGATACAAGACAGGTCTACTCATTTTTGAAGCAGTTGTTCTCCCGGTTCGGTACACCTCGCGCCATTATTAGTGATAGAGGAACCCATTTTCAAGGGCAATTCACTAAACTCCTCTCTCGCTATGGTGTTAAGCATCAGGTGTCGGTGGCCTACCATCCCCAGTCAAATGGGCAAGCCGAGCTGACGAACCGGGAGCTTAAACTAATAATTGAAAAGACGGTGGATCAATCCCGCAAGGATTGGTCCACCAAGCTCGATGATGCTCTTCGGGCATATAGGACGGCCTATAAAAACCCGATTGTCACTTCTCCCTATAGGCTTGTCTTTGGGAAGGCATGTCATTTGCTAGTAGAGCTAGAGCACAAGGCCTTCTGGGCCATTAAGCTGCTAAACATGGATTTGAGTGTTGCAAGTACTGAACGTAAGTTGCAGCTGCTGGAGTTGGAGGAATGGCGTTACCACGCCTATGAGAACACCCTGCTCTACAAAGAGCGAAACAAGCGTCTCCACGACGCTCGGTTGAGGGGCCCGAAGGAGTTTCAGGTAGGAGATCGTGTTCTGCTCTTCAAACCACACGGCCGCATCGCCAGAAAATCCAACTCCCCTCGCCGGAATCCTCTCCCCCTCACCAAAAAACCGCGACTTTTCACCTCTTTTGGGATTTTCCGGTCATTTTTGGTCGATTTTCAACAAACCAACACCACACCCAACCTTTCCTCCTCATTTTCGGCCTATCCCTTGATTTTGAGGCGAGTTGGACCGATTTTGAGTCGCCGGTGGCGATTTCCGGTGAGACTCCGGCAAGGCTCCGACAAACATTTCCGGACAGCTTTTGGGGTTTTCGTCACTTCCATTGCCTTCCCCTCATCATCCCCTACACCTCTACTTGTGTCTCCGTGTTTGATTTTGCCCTTTACATTGTGTATTGTGGAGAATTGGGTGTTAGGGTGTATGTTTAGAGAACAACTTTGCAATGTGTGAATTGTGTGCAATTGATTGAGGGGAAGGCTTGGTTTATGTGTGAATTTTGTTGGGCTACGTCCCCCATGCTTGTTTGAGCCCTTGTGTGCAAGAAATTTGCCAATTCCATGCTTAACTTAATAGTGCACACAAGGTGTTCGATGAAATGCCAGTTTTTCATACCATTTTGTGGGAGCCGGTTGGGGCCCTTAATGATGTGCTTTGATGGTGTATTTGCTATGGATGTGAACCTTAAGTTTCCTAGTACATTGTGGATGTGCACCCCGACCCAGATTCTGCTTGTTTGATCAAGTTATTGACCCCCAAACTATGGATGAAACCATGGTTTGTCTGTTTTCTGTTCTCAAGTGTGGGGGTGTGATTAACCTTTTCTATGGCTCTTTTGGCTCCACTTTGGGTTGTTATATTGAAGGAACATGACGAAACCCGACCTCAAGCACCCGTTCATTCGGGATTTGAAGAGGGGCCCCAACTAGGATCGCTTTAAGCGCGTCTTGGCCTGCTCGTTTGGGAAGCATCCTTACTGGTCCAGGAGGGAGTTTGAGAACCTGAATTGCTTCGACCACTTCCTCACCATTGCCACCAACCTCCCTTGGCACCGTCTGCTATCCATTCAAGAGAAGGTCTACCACGAGCTGGTGCTTGAGTTCTATACGACCTTCAAGCACGAAGATATAGAGGACTGGACGGACGGTAAAGTTGTCAAGTTCAGACTCGACGGTGTGCCCCGCTCCATGAGCTACCACGACTTGGCATTCACTCTCGACCTCGGCCTGGAAGATGATGTGGACTACGTCACTGACTCACTTCTACTGTCACTCCAGGAATTGGCCAAGTGAAACCACTTCCTAAAGCGTAGTATAGCGGGTTTGGGTTTAAATATCAACCCGGGTCCTAGATCTGATGACTACTCAGTGAGTTCTTGTTATCTAGCAATGAAACTTTAATGCAAGTCTAAACTAACAAACTAACAAAGCAAACAAACGGTTGTATTCAGGTTAAGAGAGGTCACCCGGATATGGTTCCCCCTAGACTGCAGTTAAGCCGGATTGTAATTACCAAGTTCAGTTTCTATGATAGTTATACTGCGGAAGGTTCTTAAACAACCTGAAGTCTCAACTAAAGGTCTTCAGACCCTCTCAATCTGAGTCTCTAGCGGGCGACTAACCTCCACCGGAGTAAACAGATTGAGGCCTTAACAAACAAAACCTCCACTACCGGAGTAAACCCGGTACAGAATAGTGAGTTGGCTCCTCGACTAAAGTCACCAACTCCCTACCTTCAATCAAGGATGCTCTATCAATCCTAGGCAGATATTCTCATTCTAGGTTAAAGCAGAAACAACAGGAATTTGATCAGGATTCAAGTCATTCAATCATTCAAACCTCAATCGAATATAATCAAATCATAGAATCAGTACTTGGGTTCATACAATCAAAGCCTAACATACAAGTCTAGGGTTCTCCATACCCAGATGAATGGGAGAACTACTCCATGGAGAAAGAAGCAAAAGCAGAATCAGACGCGGAATTCATACTGTGAAGGATGGATTCCTGCTCCTGGACGTTGATCGGCACTTCTCCAAGCTCAAACTGGCCTCCAATGGTGATGAAGATCAAGCTAGGGCACTTGGAGACTCTTGTTCGTCGCTTTCTCTCTCTAGGAATCGTTCTATCTCTCTAAAACTCGAATCCCCTTCCTCTCTCTGAAAATCTGCTTAAAAGGGCATCAGTGGCCAAAGCACGGTCGAGGGCACGGCCGTGTAATGCCTCAGCCCGCCCGTGCTTTGGCTAGTGTTAATTACACTAGGAGAAACACGGCCGTGCTTTTTGGGAGGACACGGCCGTGCTTTGGTGAAGCACGCCCGTGTTCTATCTCAGCCCTGCCCGTGTTTTGGCCAATGTTTGCCAAACTCGAATTAGCTCTCGGCAGTAAAAGCACGGTCTCAGAACACGGCCGTGTTCTGGTTTAGGTGTGCCCGTGTTTTGGCTCAGCTTCACCGAAATGACTTCCGAATGCCCCGAAACTCGTGCTTAGCCTTCCCTTTTACACCTAGGACCTGAAACATGACAAAATAGCACAACCCGGCATAAAATAGGCCAAAAACACACAACTATGCCCCTCAAACGGATAAGAACTAGGGGCGCAAATACGTGCAATTACATCATTATCACTCACCAAGCTCAACGATCTAGTGGGTGTTAATTGCAAGACGATGTACACCCGCCTAGCTCAGCCTGGCCAGCGTCCCTTCGTTGCAGGTGGATGAAGGCCAGCACCCTGCAGCTCGATAACCGTATTCTCCACCACATGCTGGCGAAGTCCTACACTCCAGCTGGGGACAGTGCCAGCACCCCTCACCAAGAGATCCATGTACTTCATCTAGTCCATCCGCACGGTGGACCATCCTCTCCACCTGGGTTCTGTGGTGGCCGGGACCCTGGACAAGAGTGCTACACAACTGGGGAAAGTCCACTGCACTCCCTTCATCACCCGCCTGGCCACCTACTTCCAGATCCCACTGCAGGGTTGCACAGAGTAGGGGGCACTAGTGTTTTCAGAGAAGACACGATCAAGAATATGCACCTACTGCGAGTCGAGCGTGGCGTCAATTGGATCGAGGGGTTTCCTGCTCCTCAAATCCCAGCGGAGGACTAGCCGGATGTTCCTGCGGATGAGGCCACTGAGGATGCTCACCCCGAGGCTGTGGATGATGCTTGTATTGGTTGGAATCTATATAGGTGTGCTTGGGGCCTAGTCCGCTGTCCAAATCTCGAGATTAGAGGGCCCCAAGTATCATTGTTTGCATGATAATATTGGCACTGTGATTTGATTGGTGAATCGAATGGTTTTCGGATTATTGCATGACAACTTGATTATAACTAGGACAACCTATGATGATGACTGAGACGTGCGGTAGAATTGTGTAGGAGTTCAAATTTTCAACTGTTTGCTTACCAACTGTGACTTGGATTGATCACTTGTTCTTGCTAGTCGTTTATGCATCTAGTTCAGGGAATCAGAATGAGAGATAGAGCATATAGGTAGCCATGTCAGATGTGAGCCTGGTCGTTTCTTTCTTGTGCGATAGTTCCCTCTTCCATGATGTGTAGCATTCACGTTGTCACTAGCTAAGATGATTGAGGTACAGGATTAGCCCACGATCAAATTGACTATCCTCGTGTGTCATACCCCCTAGTCAGCCCCTTTGAGCCGTGTACTTTTCTTTCTTTCGGTCTACAATGGAAAATCACCCTTTTGCATCTCTTAGAAGGTTCCACGGAGTGGTTTTTACATGTTCTCTGCTGTTTCTGCTAAATATAATGTGAGGGTTGGAGGTCGTTCTTAAAAAGATGGACATGTGTTTTAAAAAATGTGCATAGGTGGTGGTTCTCTCAAGAAATGAAAAAAAGGGGGAAAAAATGAGGAATGAAAGCAGAAGAGAGCCACCACCAAAAATCTGAATAGTGCCCATTAAGTAGTGTTTGTTAGCAGTCTGGCTTGGAAATACTAACATTTATGTGACCTCTTTCGCTCTTGTGCTCTAGAGAATTTGAGTAATGCAGAATGGCAGAAAGAAAGTACTGGTTTGATTGGTTGTGAACGTGATGGGTTTGGAATTGTGGAACCTTGTGCTATGAATACTTCCACCATCTAAAAGGGATTTTCCCCATGTCCAAGACCCTAGCCAGTCATCCGAACCTGTGTCTAAGACCTCCGGATTTGATAGTGTTGACACCCCATATGTGAACTCTAACATTTAGAGGTTGCCGTCATGGTGAAGAGACGTTAGGGATTGAGAGAATAAGCATGCGCATTTTTCGCATCAATTGTCCTGACCCCACTGGTCGAGAGTGAGCGATTCATTTTCTCATATTCTCTATACTCTTTTACCCCGTCGAGGACCTAGATTGCTCGGTCTCAATTCTGATATCTTGAGTTTTGTGCATGAGGTAACTGTCTTGAGTAAGTGGTTGAGTTAAGTCTATGTTGGTTGATGAACAGAAGGGAGACTCCTCCTTTACTCGATTTTGCTGCACTCGAATGTCCTCTGTGGTGGTTGTCCAGGTTGCTGTTGAAGTTGTTCATGTGTTGATGTTTCAAAGCCAGTACGATTCACGTGTTCTGTGCCTATATGAATTGTCCCCAATGTTGGTATGATTGAAATATGTTGAGCTTACCTTGTATCTGACTTGGTTTGCTTGGGGACAAGCAAACGGTTAAGTGTGGGGGAATTTGATGACTTGATATATACACATGTTTTTGTCCACCATTCTTACACCGTTTGAGTCTTATTTCTCGTGTTGTAGGCCGATTTCACGCTAGGTTGTTCTTGTTTGTGATATTTCAGGTCCTAGTACGTGAATGAAGGATTGTAAACGTGTTCGGGGTCGATTGGACGAAGATCAGACGTTTGGCGAGAAGCTGAGGAAGCCACACGGGCACGCCTAAAAACCCATACGGTCGTGTGACCTGGCCGTGTGACACCAAATTGTACGGGCAAGCCACACTGGCCGTGTAAGGGAACCCATGTGGCCGTGTGGAAATTCAAGGGAACTCACACGAGCAGTCTGGAAATCCACACGGTCGTGTGGTTTTGGCCGGGTAGCGTACCTGAAGCCACTTAAGTGAAACACAGCGTTTTGCACACTCACACGGGCAGCTGGGAAAGCCACATAGCCGTGTTGCCTGGCTGTGTGGTCGGGAATTTCTGGGTTTTAACCCAATTTCGAGCCAAAGGAGAGAGAATCGACTTCTTGGAGCAAAAACAGAGTTTTGGAGAGAGAAAGTGCGAAGAACAAATCCTAGGAGCTATTTGGAGTGGATTTCTCATCATTGAAGCCCATATTGCATCCCCAGGAGTGAAGATCATCATCCCGAAGCAGATTATCCTCATTGTTATGAGTATGACTACTCTGATTTCTGTTTTCCTCTCTCTCCCTATGGAGTAGAACTCTCTCTCACTGGGGTATGAAGAACCCTAGTTTCATGTGTTAGGAATCTTGAGTGTACTTACAATTGGATTGTGATATTGCCTGATTATAATTGATTGAAGTGTTTTGATTGAGTCAATTGAAGTCTGATCATCTTTTATTGATTTCTGCTGCAATCTGAGATAGATAGAATCTAATTAGGTTGTGAAAGCTTCCTCAATCGGTAGTAGTGAATCTATTATACGAGAGTTAGTCGATTCACTGCTTTGTACTGGAATCTAATTCCTGTTGTGGAGTTCTGTGTTTATTGCCTCAGCGTTTTATCCCGGTGAAGACTAGTCGTCTGCCAGGTAGTTTGACTGAGAGGGCTTTGTCAGCTTAAGAGATTCCAAGCCACTGTCGGATCTTCCGCAGTATAATCAGCAGTAAAGCAACCAAAAGTAATTACAACTGGGACCTAACTAAGGAGCTAGGGGGACTCATTCCCGAGTGACTCTTCCTTTGCTTTAGAAAACCGAACAATTTCCTGCTTTCTTACTGCTTTTGGTTAAAACCACAATCAATCGACTTAGTTTGCTAAATAATAGATATTCACGGAGTAGGCAGTAGATCTAGACCCCGGGTTAATAATTAGAACTTGCCACTTTACTGCATTTCTGGACTGCGATTGCACTTTGTCGCAGTTTGGTATTGGATAAGGATTCTTATACTAGAAAGGTAATAATAGTAAATCTTAACTTGTCTACCACATAATTTCCACTAATCTCGTCCTAAATATCTATAAATAAGATTATATGTCACCTCGACCAACACTCAAACACTCCATTTGGTTTCTTCTAGGATTAGAGTTTTGGTGAAGAAAAACACCGTTGGTTGGCATTCTTGCTTGTTCGAGACGGTCGACCATATACATGGTCAGGTCGAGTGATTTTAGGTAACGTTGTTATCCTAGCTATTTTGCAAATTTCTTCTTTTAATTTGATGTTTGGTTTGGTTTCATCTTCTAGGGTTAGACTTTTGGTGAAGAAGAAGATCGTTGGTGGTTGTCCATGTACGTGTTCCAGATGTTCGACCATTTGCAGGGTAAGGTCGATCAATTTTAGCTAACGTTGCTATCTTTGGTATTTCATGGTTTTCTCCGTTTAATTTGATTTTTTTGTTTGCTTTCATAAGAATATTCGGTCGGCCAATCTCAAAACCAAGTTGACCACTATTGAACATTTTAAAGCGCCTGAAGTTAGCGCACAACACTCTGGTCTTTTGTTCGTGCAAGGCAAGGAAGATCACACCCAATTGGTTGACCTAATGCTTATCATGGTCGACCGTATGTGTTAGTTTTGATTGTTTTTCTAGAATGTCGGCCTTAGCTTTGTATGTAAGATACTGTTACGCTTGAAGGTCGGCCATGCAATGTGACTGGTCGACCTATCAATTGTTCGTGTTATTATTACACACGTTTTGTTCGTAAATTGGTATTATTTGGTTTGATCGATCAATCTGATAATGTCCATGGTCGACCTAAATTTTTTTGTTGTTATGACTAATCTTTAAGGTCGACCACATAATATCTTTGACTCGCACGAAACTACACCGCAATAAAATCCCGACTAGAGCCCAAGTTTTTAAACTCTAATCGGGCTGGGCTGGTCCGTCTACCCATACTTCAGTTGTTGAAATCATTATCTAGCAACAAAACTTTGGTTTAAAGGTTTGCTAATTGAAATGAAAGAAAGCAAAGGTAAATGGTTTTGATAACTCTTTGGTAGAAAGATCATTCGGGTGTCGCTTCCCCCTAAATGCTACCATGCTATGTGAATTGGAACAATTTTTTTGGGTACGGTAATCGTGAACCGCAGAGGGATGCATATACGGACGGAGACCACAATCTCAATTGCTAAACCGAGGTAAGTATGAAAGGCCATGTCACTCGAACCTCTCGGTTTAGACAATCGGTAATTGACTTACTCTCTCACTCAACTCTAAGGTCGGACGGCTTAATCACTATTAACCGATTTGCCTAACTCAATATTGAGGGTTGCCCAGCTTAACCTAGTTTAGGTGGCTTAAAAAACGGAAGGAAAACCAACTCGATTGAGTGTCCCTTGGAAGGGGGATTTTCCTCTCTAAGCTAGGTTAAGGTGGTTAATTAGATTGCCAGCACCAACATGCACAAACCTAAGGATGCTAAGCACAAAATATGCACAACCCCTAGGTTGCTAGCACAAGCAAGCACAATCATGATGAAAGGAGGTCTACTCCATGCGTCCTTCATTGAATTAAACAATACCCAATGACAATCATCCAAAACACATAAAAGAAAACTACATGGTAGAGTTAGGGTTTCACAACACCCAAGTGAAAGGAGGTCTACTCCATGATAGAAGTGGGAAAAACAAAAGGGAAAGAGATGGAAACCATCTTGGAGGATGCTCCCAGTCTTCATGGCCCTTGAGTTGAGCTTTCCTTGGAGGAAAACTTCCCAAAATTTGCCTTGAAGCTAAACCCTAGCCTTCTTCTCCCTTTGGTTCGTGTTTCTATCTCTAGAATGTAGAAGAAGGCTTTTGAAACCAAATGGGCTCTCCCCTCTCTCCTCCTTTCAACTCATCTTTTAAACCAGAGATGAGCTGAGTTCACGGAATGAGTTCATGGCCGTGAGCCATGAAACGCGTCCGTGAACTGAGGGCGTGCGCCAAAACGCCACATCGTTCACTCGAGTTCACGGTCAACTGCCTTTGTTCACGGTCTTAGTGACCGTGAACTCACCTTGCGTCAGTAACCTTCAATTTGGCTCAGGAAGCCTAGTGATTCACGGTCAACTCCTCTTCTTCACGGTCATGCAAGACCGTGAACTCCCTTTGTTAGTCGTGAACTGGCTCTGTTTCACCTCTTCTCCCAACTTTCGATCCTTTTCGCCAATCTTTCGACTCTGAGGCTGGTTTCTCCTGTCAAATCCTGAAACACACTATAACACGGGGAACCTAGCGTAAAACCAACCTTTTAAGAGTGAATTTGGCTCAAACATCTAAGTAAAACGGGGGCAAGACATGTACAATTAGGCCCGAATCAATTTTCGGTCGACCACATCCTTTTTGTTGGTCATTTGTACAAATCTGTAGTTGAATTATGATTTAAATTGATTAACAATGGCTGATCATGAGAAACAACAGCACGTTGAGGATGAAATTGTGAAAGTGTTGAAAACCACACAAGTGCAAATTGTGTCAGTTCGATTGACATATATGACTGGGATGATGCATGATGGTTTTGAGAGGCTTTAAGGAACCATCAAAGAAATACGTGAAGAACCAATGGAGAAGGGACGAAGAGATGGTAGCAGAAAGAAATGTGAGTTTGAAGAACAGGAGGAGGAAGACCATAATGACTATGTAAATTGTTACCAGAGCATAGATGATTTATTAAAATACTTTACGGTGAAAGTATATTCATATTTGAGTGAAGATATTAGTATGGCTATTATTAGTGCTATTTTTTTGTTTACATGATTGACGGAGTGAAGAAACTTTTGGCAGCAATGGTTCCTGTCCTAAGAACAAGAAACCTCGATATGAAAGTCACTCATGCACCACTACACAGAAGGATAATTTGATAGGAAAATGATTATTTACTGCTGATAGCGAGGAAGACACTACTAAGATTCCTTATGAAAAGCATGTAGTAAATTTTAGTTACATATTGATCTATTAAATAGAGAATGTGTGTTTGTTTTCATATGTTCAATTTAACTTTGAGTTGTAGGTCATGAAAGTGGAGGGGCTAGAAGAATTTATGAAATATCTTCAAAAATCCAGTTGTAGACTTGTTTTATGTTGTTACTAAAGGGAAGAACGGAGACACAAAACGGGACAAGTAAGAAAAGTATTTTTTTTTTGTACATGCATATCGTACTAAGAAATATTTCTTAAATTGAAGTTCTGTTATTCCGTTTTTGTTGTAGTTTGCTCATTATTGACTTTGTTGAGGAAGACTAACAATGAAAATATTTGAGTATGGTCATTAGCTAGGGTAGTTGGATTTGTTCAGCCGTAAGTACTAAACTGCTACGACTTTGGTATGAGTTGTGCACTATTTCTGTTATGCTTTACGAGGATTTTGTGGTTGATTGTTGAAATGCATATAGTAGAATTTATGGTCAACCATTTATTTTCTGACTGCCTCAAAACGGTCGACAAATTTTTTGTTGTGGTCGACCAATTTGGTAATGCCTAACTAAAACGGTCACCCATTATATATTAATGGTTGACTGTATTATCTATTAGATTGAAAAAAATGGTGTAACTGGTCGACTAAAAAAGCATATAAGTCGACCGGATTGTACAAATCACGGTGCCTTGCATATTATCGTAGGTGTACGCAAAGGTTAAACTATAATATAAATTTTAATCTTCAATTAATTTCTAAATTAAATAGTGGAAGTCACTAAATGGTATAA